GGCACAAGCATTCTTGATTAGTCTTTAAGCTACAGTGTCACCAGGTTCGTTTTCATAGGTAGAACTCATTTAAAAATCAAAATTCTGTTTCTCTATTACCTCAGTTTGTGTTGGGCGGAGCACTGTTAGCTTATAGACCCTCTTGATATAACCACCAATATCCAGAAAGCAAACTTGACCACCATCTCAGAAAATAAAGGGGGGTGGGGAGAATAGGTACTTTTAAATCCCCAAACACATCGAGCATCCAACTTCATCATTCTCAAGTCTAGAATATCACCAACCCAGCATTATACAGACTATCAAATTTTATTGTGGTATTTCTGGATATGATCATAGCAAAAAAAGGAATTTGTTTTCTGGTGCTGCTATTGAGGAGTTACATCAGTAAGTCCTGATGATATTGACAATCCAAATAGATCTTTGGCTGTCCAAAGAAGTGGATACATTCTACCAACTCATTTTGGGACTGTTGATGCAAAAGTGAGTTTGTGTGTTGTGACTAATGAAAGTTACTATTTCATCTGTGTGCAATTATTTACTTTGCAGTTTGTTTTGAGCAGGTTGAGTTTGAGGTTGCACAGAATGCTCTGTAGGGTTTTCAGGAAGGTGAGCAAGAGCTCTTATGAGATTTCAAGCAAGGCTAGATGAAGACCCAGCCAGATGTAGTAGTGATGGAGATTTTGAAAGAGATGCTGCGGCAGATTGATGTAATGACAGGTGCTCTCTCTAGTGCCACAGCCTTCTTGGAGTGAATTGAAAGGTGGTTTCCAGAGATAACAAAGAGACTTGAGAATCAGTATGCTGTCTTCATTGGTATCCTCCTGTTTGGGGCCATCAGTGCTAGGAGACAGTAATAACAGACAGTGCTTTTATAGGTCACTGTCTTCTTTCCAGAAGTAGAAACATGCCTGCCAAGAAATAATCTATATTCATTTATATTTTTGCCACTTCTAGCTTTTTGCTCTGAAGTGGTTCCTGGTTTTTTCTGTGTGTCTTGTCCCCCAACTAGATTGTTAAGCCTGTCTGAGACAAGAACTCTTACATTTTTACTTTCTGCAGAATACCTGACCTAGTGCAAAGCACCTCCTGAGGTTGACTGTTTGCAAGAGGAAAGATAAACAGTAGATTTATCTAGAGGCAGCTGTGGGAGTGAAGAGAGACCTCCTGTGTTTTCAGCTATGCCTGATTCATTTATTCATTACATTTGTATTTTTGTTTTAATTGAAGGAAAATTTTTAGTGTTGACGCCCTTAGCAATTAACTTTTAAATGTTTTGGGGCCTGTTGCCTTTTAAGAGTTTCCTGTGTGAATGGAGAGACAGATATGTCCACAAATAGCAAGTCAAACTATTTATAGTAGGGACAAGATACTTTGGGAATGGGAGCACAGGGTTCTTCCTGGGGAGCTCTGGGAGGATGCCATGGAGGAGAAATGTATTTGAGCTATGTTTTGAAGACTGGGTAGCAGTTGGTTTTTGTTTGCTCTTAGATTCCCAGATTATTGTTTCTCTTCACTTCTGCTCCCCATCCCTCAGCTATAAAAAGATTCTGTCAGCATACATTATTAGCTTTAGCCATGCTTTGCAGAGAACATAAGCATCTTTTATAGTTGGTGCTGCTCCTGTGGTATACCAACAAATCTAGGATTTAGTATATTCCCATATTGGTGGGCTGTAGAGGCTCGTTTAAGAGAAGTCTGTGGCCCGGGTCTGGTGGTTCACATCTGTAATCCCAGCACTTTGGGAGGCCGAGGTGAGAGGATTGCCTGAACCCATGGGTTCAAGACCAGCCTGGGCAACTTGGTGAGACCGCGTCTCTACAATAAAAAGAAAGAAAAATAGCTGGGTGTGGTGGCACACTCCTGTATTTCCAGCTACTTGGAAGGCTGCAGTGGCAGGATCCCCTGAACCCAGAAGGTTGAGGCTGTGGGGGCTATGAGCATGCCACTGAACTCCTGCCTGGGCGACAGAGTGAGACTCCAACTCAAAAAAAAAAAAAAAAAAAAAGACATCTCTAACACCACAAAAAGAGCAGTGGAATTGGGATCAGAAGACTCAGGCACAAGTCCTAGCTTGATCTCTTAGAAGTTGATACAGTTCTTGTATGTCCAAAAACTTAAGTCTGTGGTCTCAGAAGGTATAGGATTTGAACTATTGAATATCAGCTATCTAGATGATACGGTAGATTATAGCAGGCCATAAAATGTCAGCTCAGATTCATTGAAAGCCTCTGTGCACATATTTGCATATCAAAGAACAGTTACATTGATATGTTTACATCTCTGTTAAATGAAGAGGAGATTTAGTGAGATGTAGGACTGCATATTACATTATCAAAAAATCCTAATAAGGGCCAAGCATGGTGGCTTATGCCTGTAATCCCAGCACTTTGGGAGACTGAGGTGAGAGGCTTGCCTAATAAGGCCATGAGTTCGAGACCAGTGTGACCCTGTCTCTACATAAAATTAAAATTAAGCCAGACACAGTGGCTTGCGCCTATAGTCCCAGCTACTCAGGAGGCTGAGGTAGGAAGAGCCCTTGAGGCCAGGAAGTCAGAGCTGCAGTGAACCATGATCACGCCCCTGCTTTCCACCCTGGGTGATGGGAGTGAGACCTTGTCTCTAAAAAAATTTAAAAATAAAAATACAATGATCTTATGAGAAAATATGACCTTATACTCTGTTTTCCCTTGTTTTATTGTTCAAATTTGATACAAATTTCTGCTTAATTGCTTTTCAGATGAAAATACAATATTTTTAAAAGAGGAAATTTTGTAAAAGCCTTTTATAACTATAACATATTGACTTTTCAAAACTTCAATTGCTTTTTCTTTTCCGTTTCTGCTCCTGCAGAAGTAATGACTTTTGCCCCCAGAGGAAAGGCATTGCTGAAATGGTGTTAAATTATTATTTGAGAGTAATGACTTGAGCCTCTCTGTCCTATACTATATTGTGACTACTTATAAAGAGACCTTATCATTCTCACAACAGTGTCCTCTACATGTCCTTTGTGGGCCCTTGATGGTCTGTGCAGTAGAATGATTAGCTAGTACATTTCCTTTCCTCTGCACAAATTCCCATTTGTGCAATTGCCCACCCTCTAGTTTTTCCCAGTGATGTAAACTACTTGTATGCTGCCAGGCTTGCTAACTTAATGGCATTGCTTTTAAGAAATATTGTCAGCTTTTTAAATGTATCAATTAATAGGAGGGTTTATGATACAATTTTGGAATGCCCGATTCTAGGATATTTTCATTTATTGGAAAAAATATGTGTATTTAGAGCTTTCTGCCTTCTGTTGTTTTTCAATTTTTGTTTGATTTGCTTTCTCCATGGTATAGGAATGTTTGTTTTAATTGAAAAAATAGTTTTCCTCAAACCCAGTGATTGATGTAGGAAGAAGGTGAGTTATAATTATCCTGTTATGTCCTTTCTATCACTGCAAGCCTTGGTACCTACCCATCTGAGAGACAGGACACCTGCTGATTTTTGTTTCAGAGAAGACAGATGATTTTGTACCCTGTCTTAGGCAAGATTTGATAAGATCTGAGTCCTTTTTCTATCTTACAATTCATCTTTTAGTCACTTCCAGCTAGTTGTTTACCTTTAGTCTTGTTGCCTCAGGTAATCTTATCTAAAACTTGATGGGATACAGAAATAAACAGCAAGAGCTTAAATGTCTAGAATGAAAGACTTTAGAATTAGTTCTCTAGTTCAGTGAGTCTTCACTTTCTTAATTATTATTATTAACCATAAATAAGTCAGGTTTTATTGACAAGAATAAAGGAATGAATCTAACAGACTAGTTACAAATTAGAGAAATTTTATGGTTTGTACTTTTCAAGAGAGAGTTATGAACTTCTTTGGAAAGAAGGAAGATAAATGGGGCGGGGGAGGCTTCTTCCTTCACCCTCCAAAGAATCAAGAACGTTGTAGAGGGGTGCACTGAGGATGCTGATTGGATCCTAAGAATTTAGAGATGCTGGAAAGCAAAGAATTTGGGTTCCCCTGCTGGGTTGTCTCAGCAGTGAGGCAAATGAAACAGAGTGCCAGGAATCTAAAGTCAGATGGACCCAACTTCAAATCCTGATTTGGATTATATTAGCGTTGTACCCTTGGACATGCTGTTTATTCCCTTTGAGCTTCAGTTTCATCATCTGTAAAACTGGGATAATAGGACAGACTTCATGGAGCTGGTGGGAGGATTCAGTGTTGATGGGGGTGTGGCACGTAGCTGAAGCCACAGTGACCTCTAGAAACATGAGTTCCTATCCGCTCTCATCACCAGCCCCCTTAGCCAGTGATTTGTACTTCTCTGGGTCTTTGACCAGCATTATGGTTATTAACTCAAAGAGCTTGAATCTAAATGGTACTCAGTACTCTGATATCTGATTTGGTGGAAGACAAAAATGATTCCTAATTTTGTAACTCCTTGCCAAGGTTAACAGGCTTAGTGGAAAGACTTTTCTTTATGTAGAAGACATTTCATCTGAGTTATTCTTCGTAATCATTATGTATGCCCTTCCCCCTTCTTTTTTTCTTTAATTTAAAATGACTCAAAAATATGGAATGGGAAATAAGTAATGCAGATGGTTTTTACTTATGTGAAAAATGGTTGCTAGGAATTGAAAAATAGTTTTCACAGTTGAAATCACTGCTTTAAGGAGATTATGGTTGCGGCATACTGCAGTAGAATAATAATGATAATGATGGTAATAACATTACTATGTGCTAGTTCAGTACGTCAATCCTATGAGGTGTAGATACTATTATTATCCTCATTTTGCAGATAAAGAAACCGAAGCACAGTGAGGTTAATAGCATTGCCATTTGCATAGTTAGGAAGTAGCAGAGCCAGAATTTGAACTCAGATAGTCTGGCTCCAGAGCCCACGCTCTTAGCTACTCTCTCATACTGGGAGGACTGAGAGAAGGCAGTGCTTTGAGGAGTAAGTGTCCTAAGACCTGCACAGGTTTGTTATTTTGGGATTTGCTCTACAGGTATTCTGAGAGAAGCCTCACAAAGTGCATCGGAATTACTATTGAGACCAGACCAGATTATTGCATGAAGCGGCATTTAAGTGACATGTTGACCTATGGCTGCACAAGGCTGGAGATCGGGGTGCAGAGTGTCTACGAAGATGTAGCCAGAGACACCAACAGGTAAGATGGTGGCAGGTGGGTGGGCTGCACAAGGCTTCCTCTGTCACCACTGATTGTTTTCTATATTCATACCCATCCTTTCTGCCTTCTGAGCCATCTTAAGAGAAAGAGATGTGGATAGTTCTCCTTTTCAGAGTCCTTTCCTCTGTCTGTACTCTTAGTTCCATTCCTTCTTTCCTTCATTTTCAGTCCTTCTCTACTGAATTTTTTCCAGTGGCCTATAAGCCTCCTCCTGTCTCTCCCTGATCTTGTCATGAACAGCCTTGGCTATATAGAAAGCAGGAGAGAAGGCCAGGGAGAATGGAACAGAGAGAAGGGTCTGAATGAGAAGGAAGTCAGGGTAAGGTCTAAGGGATTAGTTTTTGCAAAACAGATGCCAGTTGGCAGAGAGTATTTGTTGAGGCAATGGGTATAAACCTTGAGAAATTGTGGGACTGCAAGGAAGGGAAGAAATAAGAGTTGGTAGAGCCCTGTCAATTTCTGTTCCTTCTAGAAATACATCACTGACATGAGGAGAGAAGGTACCTATGAAATGAACTGTATAGGGAACTTTATTTATTTATTTATTTTTGAGTTGGAGTCTCACTCTGTCGCCCAGACTCGAGTGCAGTAGCCAGGAGCTGCCACTGCAGCCTCGACCTGCTGGGCTCCGGCGATCCTTCCGCCTCAGCCTTCCAAGTAGCCGGAACTACAGGCGCGTGCTACCGCGCCCAGCTGATTTTTTGATTTATTGTAGAGATGAGGTCTCGCCAAGCTGCCCAGGCGGGTCTCGGACCCGCGGGCTCAGGCAATGCACTCACCTCATCCTCCCAAAGCGCTGGGATTACAGGCTGAGCCACTAAGCCTGGCCTGTATAGGGAACTTTACGACTAACTGCTAAGTTCGTAGGCAGGAGGAGACACCAGGAGTTCACTAGGCAGCAGAGATCGTCGACCGAAAATGGTATTGGCAGGCTGTGTTCGGGGCCCCTGTGCTTTCATCGGATCTGAGTACACATGGTTGGATTGTACCAGGAGAGGGGAGCCAAGGGGAGCTAGGGAGGCAGACACCGTCAACAGCTCAGCAAGCACCAGGAACACCAGTCTGAGGAGGGTGGAACTTTTCCTTTAGGTGTTAGAGATCTGTTGAACATTTTGGAGCACGGCAAAGAATCTAACAGATACCATGCTTGAGAGAGAGTACCTGAATAGAATGCAGTCACATAGGAAAATACTTGAACCAGAAAAAGTGGTAGAGTGCTGTAGCTGACAAGGTCTGTGCTAGAGAGGATCCTGTGGCGCTGGAGAGTTTCTTGAAGGTCAGGGAGGCTTTCCAAAGACTTTGACTTCTAAGCCAAGGCTTGAAGGAAGAGTGTGAGTCAGGTTCAGAAGAGGAAGATTGTTTCAGGCAGAAAGAAAATAGGGACACATTCCTGCAGATGTGAGGGCATGGCACATTTGAGGAATTTAGAGTTTGAGTACAGCGTGAGGTAGGAGAGCCAGAAGAGGTGAGGCTGAAAAGCAAGCAGAGAGGCCAAATTAGCCTAGAGAGTCTGGACTTTCATTCGAGGACAGTAGTAAGCCATTAGCAGGCTGTAAGCTAAGCTGTGATAGGGGCGAGTTTGCACTTTAGAAAGATTGCTTTGGCTACAGTATGGGGGAGGGATTGGCGGGAACAAGCTGGAAGGGACCCTGGGTAAGAGGCTGCTATGGAACCTAAGCAAGAAATACTGAGGTCCTGGGAAGAAGTGAATGCTAGTGTTTGGTGACTGATTGGAAACGAGGGTAGGAGAGAATGGAAGTCAAGGAGGCTCGGAGGAAACATGGTATCATTTTGGATATACTAAGTTTTAGATACCTGGGAGAACAACCAGTTGAAGGTTTTTTTGCTTTAGAGCAGGGTTAGCCCATAGCACATTCTGCAGTGATCAAAATGTTCTGTGCCTGCACTATACAATACAGTAATGCAGCTGAGGAACTGACTTTTTCATTTTAATTCATTTAAATATAAATTTGAATAAGCATGTGCCTAGTGGCTACCATTTTGTACAGCGCTACTTTAAAGTATTTGATATTTGGGTGTGGAATTCAAGAGAGAAACCTAGCATCATCGTAGAAATTTGGAAGTCATTCGCAAAAAAGAGATTAGAAATTGAAGCCATGGGAATGGATGGGAGCATCCAAAAAGGATGAGATAGCATTCATAGTTTCTAGGATCTATCTGTGGCGAAAATGTCTTGGTAGCAGAGGGGTTGGCACAAGGCCTCAGTCTGTTTGCCCATGACTATTATTAGTGCTTGCTTCCTGCTTGGATGTGGTACTAGAATGCTAAGTTAACGTTATTTATTTATCCACGTCACCCCGGATGATTCCGCCTTCTTACTAAATCGTTCTCTCTTTCTACCTTTTTTGAAGGACCTTTCAAACCTGCCAGTAAAATCTATTTTGTATCATAGGTTTTACTCTTCCTCTGTGTAAATAATTTCCCAAGATTTTTAAAGAAAAGAGCATAGCAAGCTGCTGCATCTGCTTGGTTTCGAGCCCGTACTCTTGTTTTTTTATATAAATTTTTACATTAGTAAACATATTTTGATTGATGAAGCTAAACCAAATACACACCGATTCTTATTATCACCCCAGTCTTTTACTTTTAAGACCTTGAGTAGATAGGTAAGGGAATTACTGAGAAATAGCTCAGAAATCAAATGGCTTACTTCTAGGTCGCCTCAGAGGTGGAGATGTAAAAATGACTAGCTAAGATTTCTTTTTTCCCCAGCCGTATGATTTTTGGTTATCGAGTTTCCATTACATGTGTCAGAGGTTGTTTTCCCTCGCTCCATGTGTTACCTGTGTGATTGCCTTGATGTGTCTAACAGGTAGTGACTTTTCTTTCCTCAGGGGCCACACAGTGAAGGCAGTGTGTGAGTCATTTCACCTGGCCAAAGATTCCGGTTTCAAAGTTGTGGCTCATATGATGCCTGATCTGCCAAATGTGGGACTAGAAAGAGACATTGAACAGTTTATGGTAAGTGTTCCTCCAGCCAGGCCCGTCCAGAATACTTCTGTATTCTTCTTATCCTGTGTGCTCTCATTTGCTTTCTGTTGACTTTTTCCATTATCCAGACAGTGCATCCTCATTGTAAAGTAAAAGAAGTCACCTGTCTCTCCAGGGTTATTTTATGCTTGAGGTTGTTTATGCACATATAACATAGCCACACTTATACTTACAAATCTATATATGAGACAGGGCATTCTTCTCATAGCTTTTTCACTTCGCATTACCACAAATATTTATCTGTGTTGTAGCCTGGTCTCTGTTAACATGCTAATATAGTCACATGTCTGTTTAAAACTTAAAGTATTACTGGTTTTTAATATTATAAATAACACTGCAGGTAAATAACTTTATGCCTATAACTTTTTGTAGCATTTAGGTTTATCTCTCTGTGATAAATTCCATGGAGTAAAATTGTCAGGTAAAAGTATAAATAGTTTAAGAATCTCATTGATGTATATTACTATATTGCTTTGTAGGGGGTTGTAAAAATTTACACTCATTTCCACAGAGTTGTCTTAAATAATTCTCTCCTGTTTACATATTTTCTATATATATTTACCTAATACATGCATATACACATATAGTATTTTACTCTTTACTCTTTGATGGATAAAAGTACCATTTTAACTTGCATTTTGAAATTGTAGTGGTATATTTTTTAGGTTTGTATTTACTAATTATATTTCTTTCATCTTTTTAGAATTGTGTATAGTTGTCCTCTAACCAATTACCCTTTTGGGATGTGATTTTTTTTTTTGAGTTAGAATCTCACTCTGTCACCCAGGCTGGAGTACAGTGGCATACTCATGGCCACCACAGCCTTGACCTGCTGGGCTCAAGCGATCCTTCCGCCTCAGCCTTCCAAGTAGCCGAACTAAAGGCACGCACACTAAGCCAGGCTAATTTTTGATTTGTTGTAGAGACAAGGTCTCGCCAAGTTACCTGGACTGGTCTCGAACCCCTGGGCTCAGGCAATCCTCTCGCCTCTGCCTCCCAAAGTGCTGGGATTACAGGTGTGAGCCCACTGTGCCCAACCAAGATGTAAACATTTTTAATATTAATTTATATAAACTTTTTAAGGTGGTGAGATAATAGTCATCTTTTTTTGTTGTAGATGTCTTCTCCAACCTTTTGTCGGCCTTTTGCTTCTGTTGTCAAAGCTTAGAATGGCCTCTCTGTTTTCTTCTAGCCTTTCTGGTTTTTGAACTTTAATACCTAGCTGAACTCTGGGCATTTTTTAAAAAACTCTCACAGTTTCTTGATTCATGTTAGCTTTGTTATGGGACATGAGGTTGGTCAGACCTTTTGTGTTTCTCAGATAGGGAAAATGTGATTGAGGAAATATATCTGTTAGGTACCAGACTCTTGGTGGGACCTCCAAAAGTGTTAGGTTAGAAATAGCCCAGTGGGGCCTCCAGTATGTTAGGCCACACTAGGGGAAAGGGCCAAAACTCAGGGAACAGGGTGGTGGCCCAAGCTCCAAGAGCACATGATCACACCAGCATTTAGTAAAGCCATGGCGAATGGCTGCTTGAAGTCCAATCCTTTTAAACCTCCCTTTGATTGGAGAAGGTCATTAAGGTGATTAGGTGGTGGTCTGCTCCACATCATCAGGAAGGGGACAGGTAAGTGTAGTTACTGTTGCCAGGTGATAGACAGCAGGCAGATGGGTGGTCCGTCACATGACTGCTGTCATGCTATCCTGAAGGTTATGAAAAACTGATTGGGTTAACTTGTTTACAATACAACTGTTGTAAAACAGTTGTCAGTAGTACCTCTGAGAAACCAATTCTGTCCTGGCTAGTGATAAGAGGGTAAATCGACTTGCTAGGAAAACATGACAGACCCAGGCAATGTTAAAATGGCTTCTCATTGGGTATATTGACTCCGTGTTATATCCTGTCAGTCTCCTTTTAGAATAGACGATGGCAATATTTATCAAGTTATTTTATCCCTAAAAATACTTTTATTTTACTCTGTTTAGAAAAATGGAGTTCATTGTGTCTTCTTTGTGAAGTTAATAATCTTCCCTTCCTTTTAAAATTTTTGTTTTTGTTACTTTTTTAAGCTTGTGAACTGCAGCTGAAGGCCTCTTTATAAGACAGCATTAATTCAGATATCCCTGTTAGTAATTCCACCATATTGGTTGTGTGATAGATTTTGAATCTAGTCTCCTCCCCTCAATAACTAATCGTCAGGTACTCAGACACTGTGCCTAAGGGGTACCTGAAACACACTTTTCTTTAACGCAGCTTCTCAGTGGACCAGTAAGTTAACTGGGATTACAAACTTCAAGTGCTCTTAAAAAATAATGGTATTTTTTTAATACCATAGCAAGTAATAGCAAGTAGTTAGTTCTCACTACTCATTTTCCTTGGTTTCCTCAAAATAAAGGATAGTTCAGTAATAATATTGCAAAGACAATACTTCATGTAAACAGATGTACCTGCTTTTTGTAATTTTTTTTCAGAGAAAACCACAGGGAATATGAGCAGACCATATTTTTTTTCTAACTGCATGCTAGTAAATGAGTAACAAAATGGAGCTAGAGTAAAAGCTGATTTTTCTCTAGAGAAAAACTCTCTGAAGATTAGTTTATTAAATTGCCTTAGAATAAATATTTTTTTACAAATTGAAAAGGACAGGCGGCTCAATCGGAGAATGGGCAAAAACCTTGGACAAGCATTTCACAAAAGAGGATATTCAAGTAGGCAATAAACCTATCAAAAGCTCTCAAAGCAATTAATCCTCAAAAAAAAAAAAATTTAAAACCATACATTACTACAGTATAGTCATTAGAATGGCTAAAATTTAAAAAGATAGTATCAAGTGTTGGTAAGAATGTAGAGCAACTAGAACTCTCATTTACTGCTGGTAGGAATATAAATTGATACATTTATGTTAGAAAACTGACAGGATCTGCTAAAGCTAAACATATACATACCCTATGCCCCAGCAGTTCTACTCCCAGATGTATACCCAACTGAAATGGTGCATCTATGTTTTGTTATGACCGAGTAAGTGAGAGGAAGTTACACCAGCAAGTTGAGTCTAATTAATTGGAGTCCTTTATTCACATGCAGGTCAAGAGTAGGCAAACACCAGAAAAACTCTTGGCAAATTGGTGCAGTTTGTGACAAACTTTTTTTTTTTTTTGAGTTGGAGTCCCACTCTGTTGCTCAGACTGGAGTGCAGTGACCGCTCCCGGCCACCGCAGCCTCGACCTGCTGGGCTCCAGCAATCCTTCCGCCTCAGCCTTCCGAGTAGCTGGAATTACAGGCACGCGCTACCACGCCCAGCTAATTTTTGATTTATTGTAGAGATGAAGTCTCACCTGCCCAGGCGGGTCTCGAACCCACGGGCTCAAGTAATCCACTCCCTCAGCCTCCCAAAGGCGTGGGATTATAGGCTGAGCCACCAAGCCCGGCTTGTGACAAACTTTTATTGGCTACATAGCAATTTAGTGACCATAGCAACTATTAACTAACAACTTGGCAACCAAAATGGGAACTTAAGTCGTTAGGGAGTTATGATTAATTTCATGTCCTAGGTATAGCCAGTGCCCAGAAAGTCCCTGGAGTTCTGCCATTAAGTTACCTTGCTTAGGTCACTAACAGAATATAAGAACAAACTCTGAAAATGTCAAAGTGCCTAACATTTGATTTCAGTTAACAAAGCATACAATCACATGGAACTTATGGCGAAGGAGTTCTGTAACGGTCAGCAGGCAACGGTCAGCATAACTTGCCCAAAGGAGACAAAGCTCGGGGGGGTCTGTGGTCATGGGAACATTGCTGTAATTACACATAGGCATTGATTCTTAGGTCAGGCAAGTAACTGAGATGAAAGGTTTTAAACAAAATGGAGTAAGCTGGTTAATATTATTATTTTGCTAGCAATTTGATTTTATTAACTAATTTAGCTCATTTCAGTTTACCAAAGGACATGATCACAAATTGGTAATATCATCAAAGTGGAAAAAACCCAGGTATCCATTAGCAATAAGATGCACAAATAAATTTTGGTATAATCATGTCATGAAATACTATAAAACAATAAAAAAGAACTAATTACAACTTCATATGACAATATGGTTGATTCTGTTTAACATAGAATGGAATACAACAACCAAATCCAAAAGACTGCTTAACCTACAGTTCCATTAATATGAAGTTCAAAAACTTTAATTGGAATTGTAACTGGAAACAGGTGTGAGGTGGACTTCCGAGGTTCTGATAATATTATTTTTCTTCATTTGAGTGTGTGTGCTGGTTACATGATTCCTAAAAAACTATCAAGATGTACACTTAAGAGTTAGTATACTTTTTTGTGTCTAAGGTATATGTCAATAAAAAGTTTACATTAAATATTTCAAAACAGTTTTTGTTTAGCAAGTCGTATTTGGGCCTGTTTGAAATTTACAACCTTTCCTGATTTAGTAGGCAGTGTTTTTACACTTTTAAAATTTATTTTTTTCCCACTTTATTTTATTGTCACATCTGCCCAGACTTCCTTATTGACAGTCCACAGATATATTTCCCTTAATGTGTTTTGTTTCATGGGAAGTGTTGCTGCATCAGGGATCTGCTTGTATAATTGCAAAAGTCTACAAAATTTTATCTCAGTAGAAGACATGTGTTAGTTATAAATTGACTTAGAGCTCACATCTTGTTGTACAGGTCAGTTTTGTGTCACTAAGAGTATAATCTGGTTCATTTGCATCTGTTTCTTATCAATTCACATTCTTAAGTGTAGAGCTTGCAGCTGTGTGTGATAAATAGCATTTGCTTACATTTTCCAGTAATTCAGATTTATTTTTGAAATGAACTTTTCCTTTTTTTTTTTTTAATAAAGCTGGAAGTCTATCCTTGTTGTGATGGACAATCTTTAACATCTTAGGCATTTATCCTACAAGCATTAACTTCACCCTTTCCATCTGTCCTCATAAGACGTATTTGTTATTCAAC